ACAAATGCAAACAACATATGGATTTTTACTTTATTCGATGGACACTGTGTCAGGCACTGTTCTAAATAATTTTTACAAATCTTGAACTCATTTGATTCACTTATAACAATTCTTTTAGGTAAGATCTATCATTCCTCAATTTTCAGATGAGAAAACAGAGGCACACAGAGGTAAATTATTTACCTGAGGTCGTATAACTAGTGAAGTAATTCTATCTGAGAACTTAACAATGATAGGTATACTAAAAGGTTTTAGCATGGTGCTCTATGCTTTTCTAGGCACAGTTAATAAATACTTTTAATTGAAAGTCATTCAGAGAGTAACTTTAAACATAAATTGCCCAATAACAGCGGGTAGGCTTATTAAGAGTTTTCTAAGTGTGAAGTACTGTACTGTGTTAAAAAAAATCTCCAGTTTAATCCAGGTAATCCCATTAGGGAATTATGGGTTACCTTACCATTTCCACTTAGATGAGAAGACTGACCGATAGGTGGCTAACACTTTCCCACGGCTGCGTGATTAATGAATGGCATGGAAGAATTTAGACCAGGGTCATCCAGCCAGTTGCAGAACCCACCTATTTATGCTTCTGTTATCCTATTCAGGAGCTGACCCATGAAAGAGGAAGGACTCAGAATGATGATTTCGCCAGGCTGTTTTTCTCTTTTTTTTTTCCTTTAGCATACCAGGTCATCAACAAGTACAGTAATCACTGAATTGAAAAAGACACATCATTTTAACAGATAAATACAGGGTAAGGTTTGCCTGTGAGGAGAATTCCCTGACAATAAAGACCCCTAAAAGAAACTATGTTACACCAATTTATAATCACAACTTCTAGCAAAACATATTTAGATATTATTAGTCATGATAATGACATTACTGTTGACCAGAGAGTGTGTAAATAATCACCCTTGATTTAAAAAATTCTACGTTCAGAAGTCACACGAACGGCAAGGCTGAAGAGGATCATGCTGAAATTCAGATGGGCTGGAGAGAAGGTCTCAAGTGTGGGACTCAGAGGCGATCCCAGATGAGAAGGGAATTTTAATATAAATTACCAAGAATTTCCTTTTCTATGATTTCCATATCCACCAGCATGTGTGGCATGCTATCATCTGATAATACACACATTTTCAAATCACAACTTCAAACTTTTTTTCAAGAATCAAAATATAAATCAATAAAACAGAATCAACAAGTGAATTTGAACCAATAAGTTTGGCATAATCCCATTTTCCTGTAGATAAATTATTTATTTTATAATTTTAGTAATTTAAAAATATCCTTATTTCATAAATGCAGTAGTAAATAATTTTTTATGATTAAAATTTAAATTAAAAGCAGAATAAACATTTTTATATTTTTATTTCCATACAAAAGAAGATATAATCAAAATATGTAGCAATGTTTAAATTTTTTAAATGAATTATAGCAAAAGATATGTTGCCAGTCATTCCTCAGAAAATACTGCCCCTCACTTCACATACACTTATCCCATCATTCTTGTCACTTTCTGAAGCAGTTCTGGAAGTCCTCTTTCCTGAGTGTCTTAGGGAGATATGACCCAAACTATAGCAAATGCTGCTGTCTAGCGTCCAACGGAAAGACAACTCTTTACTTCCACTGTTGTGGCTGCCTCAGTGTCCTGAATCAAATCAGAATTTACCTTTCATGGTCATTTTTACTTTGGAGAAGAGGGAGAAGTCAAATGGCATCAAGAGTGTTACCGAGTGAGTGTTACCGTGATAGAAAAGCTAGCTAAGAAGACTTGGTGAGGTGTTAGGGAAATATCCATAGGTAGCTGAAACATAGACTGACATCTCTGAAATATGCAATGACTCCAGTTGGTATAAGCACTCCTCTCGGACCTGCTGTCCCTCCCGCAATGTCCTCTTGCTTAAGGTGAAGATTTTTGTGTTTGGTGGACCTCCAGTCATTGCTCATAAAAATATTGCAGTGCATCCTTATCTATGTTATTCATCAGATCTGGCACCACTCGACTTTGGGCTCTTCTCCAAAGTCAAAATGACCAAGAAAGGTAAATTCTGAGTTGATTTCAGGAAATTAAGGTAGCCACAACAATGCAAGCAGAGACTCATGAAAGAGGATTTCCAGAATTGCTTCAGGAAGTGGTAAGAACGATGGGATGAGCATGTTCAAAGCAAGAGGGACTATTTTGAAGGGGATTAATGGCAATGTATCTTTTTACTGTAGTACAATTTTAAATTTAAGTATTTACCATATTTTTCCAATCACACCTCAAACAATGAACCATTAATACTTTTACCAGCTTAGTTTTACAGTTATTTTATCTATGAGATGTACAGTATGTATAGTACCAACATTTAAACTGCAGACATAAACTATGTCTTTGACTGATTTCTCACAATACAACTGTAATCAATATTCTTAAAATTCACTGCATATGACACACGCCATAAACAACAAAAAAGCAATGTTCTGTAAAACTACTCTTTCTTTGAACTAGAGGACTGAGGATTTTTGATCTAGTGATTCATGGGGCATAAAATTAGGAATAAGAAAAGGACTTCACTGAATAGCTTTTCAAACCATAGGAGTCTGGTTCTATGGAAAGAATGTATAACTTTTCTCATATCATTAGAAATCATCTCTGCTAAGAAAAAAGAGAATGGAAATTAGATGAGTTCTTAGGGCAAGTTCTAGACCTATGTATTCTACTTTAAAAACTTATTGAAATTTTATTGTAACCTAAAGAAGCTGAAAATTAAAACTGATTATAGAAGATGGTCTCAAAACCATTTATTTGTTATCAAACACTTTGAATTTATCTTCCCAGTAGAAATTTCTCTTTTTTGTATGTTATCTTATTTGAATTCACTTTTGGGGTGGATGTTTCATTAACACTCAATAAACTTTAATAAATTTTAGGACTTGTCAATAAGTTCAGGCATCTATCCTGCGAGTGGTGTTTTTAAGAACAGAATTTTAAATTCCAGCCATCAAATCTCTTGACTCCTGCAATGACTCCAGTTGGTATAAGCACTCCTCTCGGACCTGCTGTCCCTCCCTCAATGTCCTCTTGCTTAAGGTGAAGACTTTTTGTGTTTGGTGGACCTCCAATCATTGCAAAAAAAATGCCCCTTCAACATGCCACTGAGACCCCTCTTGATACAAATGCCAAATGTGCACAGCAACGTGGTTCCAAAAGCACTTAAGCCTCAACCCACTCACCCAAGTGTTATGTGATAGAAAAGCTAGCTAAGAAGACTGGGCGAGGTGTTTAGCAAATATCAATAGGTAGCTGAAACACAGACTGACATCCCTTAAATGTAGAGAATTATCTTTATTCCATTCAACTCAATTATTACCATATTAATGAGAATAAAAAATGCATTAATGTAAGTGGATAAGAACTTTACATCCGTCAATGAATGTTTGCTTAAAAGTAAAAAAATAGTAACGAAGTGCTATGTGCATGAACAAACTCTCCTTGATGAATGTAATTATTATACACTGCAAACATGTACTAATAAAATAAATAAAATGTTTAAAACTGAATAAAGGACCTATTTGTGAAACATTCATATTCATCTCTGAAATTACAGTTTTCCATTTGTTCCTTAATCCAAGTACCAATTAAAATTACTGCAAAGACACATGGTCTACATAAATGTAAGATTCTTTCTTCTGAACAAGACTTCACGGATGAAGGAAAGGATTACAATACTGTATTAAGCAGCTAAGATTAGAACTTGCATTCCCCTTTCACATGCATGAAGTACAAAATAACTTCTTACGCAGAACTAAGTGACTCATCTGTGATCAGATTGTTGGTGAGCCTTCTGCTGGCAAAAATATCCTGCAAACATTTAGGACTACGTATAGCTTGAAGTTCCAACTTGAAACTTCCAACTCACCCCTTTTGCCTCTTGTTAGCAGCCTCATCTGTGCAACTTGTCAACAACATTGCAAATTAACCAATCTAAGCCACTTTATAGAACGTGCTCAGTGGTTCCTACTCAGCTAAAATGCTTCAAGGTGGATAGGGCAACTGTTATGTTAGCCCACCTTGTACAGATGAGGAAAACATGGCCATCAGCATTACCTGGAATGACTTACCTCAGGACACATAGTTAATGGTAGGTTGGGCCAGCAATTCAACCCACATGTTTCCCACCAATTCCCAGAATCCAGACATTTACTCTTTGCTCATAGCCACACTGCTTTCATTACGTCGTCTGCGGGCTGACAGAAGGTGGCAATATCTGACCTTCTGGTATTTATATATTCTACATGCACTGATTCTAGTGTGCACTTATGTTTTGGCCATTTCTCCTGGCATCTCTTTATTAGCTTTTAGGAACACAGATCATAAGCTTCAGACTCTACACAACTGCTAACAATTACTACGGAACCACGGAACTGTAATTTTTAAAAAATATTAATTAGATGCAAAAGTTTTGGGAGTCCCATCTCAGGGGCCTGGGAGGGAATAGTATGTCACAGGGTAACTGAGTTTATTTATTAACCAACACTGTATTTTTTAAACTTCTATAGAAATTCCCTAAATTTTTTCTTATTTTCAAAAAATTCTGTAAGAATGATTTTTATGATACTATCTAGTATTTTCAATGAAGTGGATATTCTCAAGCAATATTGGTGGAGAAAATAAGCTTCTTGGATATTATTTATTGATATGTAAACATATTTTAAATTATTATCCCAGCAATTCCAGTTGTAGAACTTATTTCCTAAAGAAATAACTAGAGTAGTTCAAATATACCCCCAAAACTTTTACCACTGATATGTAACATTAGGAGATAATTAAATGCTAGTAAAATCCAACCTTCCAGACTCCTAAAACAGGATCTGGGTCAACCCAGACCTTTCATTGCTAAATAACGTTCCTATAATTGAGAAGCACTTCTATATTTCTTACTGTTTTCAATTTAAAAACAGAAATTTCTTTTTCCATTTGTACCAATTAAACTTAGCCGCATGAATGAATTACATACCTTTATTACATGATGCTTTTCCTGGAATGCAGGAATCTTAAACATTTGGCACCAATATGTTGTATCTTTGTTTGGGATGGGGACCTGTCTTAACAAAAAGGGCAGAGAGAAACAAAGTCACATTCTGGTGACTTCCTGTTTAGTGCAGTAACATAAATTTTGTCATTAAACTCATCCCTACAATCATAAAACCTAAAGAAACTTACGTCATGATTTACTAGGTCAAAATATGGTAAGGCTGTTGGCAGCACATTGGTTTTCTCAGGATTGAGTAGTCGCAGACTCTTCGTGCCCCGGTTGGCCTCGTGGTACTTGGGACCGGAGTCTCCCACATCTTCATGGTGATAGGCCCAGATTACTCTCACAGTGCTATCCTGGTGACCAGAAATGGGCACATTACGTCTCATAAGAGCAGTTTCCCTACCACTCAGTTGACTGTAAACAATTTTATTTAAAGTAGGATATAAGTGAAGAAAAGAGAATAAGGACATTTGGAGTTCTCAACATGGTCTCTGACACGAATTTCATATATTTAAGTGAGTGAGTAAGGATTTAAATAGATGGGTGAGCTTACAGAAGGAACCGTGTCTCTCAGCATGCAAGATAAGTGTTCCAAAGCAGAATGAAGGATGATTGTCTTAGGGATTGTCCTCACTTCCAGAATGAGAGGAAGCCATGGCCATGCCTAAATGTTTGACTAACAAATAGTAGTTATCAAGCAAAAATTCTTGTTAAGAAGCAGGGACTTTGAAAAATAAAAATGCTTCAATATAATGGAGCATTTTAGTGTAAATAAACAGTGTGAAAATTAAAATTGCCGTAAGACTTTTCTTTTCACGCTTAGTTTTTCCCAGGCACTGGTCTGGTCACATGTATGAATTTACAGAAAGTGGAGACACAGCAGGAACTTCTGATTCTGGGTGTACTTTTTATTACAGATTCAATCCACAATCCCTTTATGAATCCTGGGAATTCCCAAAGGACTAGCATACTCCAACTAGGGAAATTACTGTCAGGTTTTCTACTGAGCCACCAAAATATTGGCCAGCAGGCTGTGGGGTTGGAAAGTTTTGCTGGGATGTAAAGAAATTGTTCAGTCCTCCCACAGATAATGGTATTTTTGCCAAGTCTTTGTAACAAGAACTTTGAGAATAGAAAATAAAGCAAAAGCTATTTATTTTAAATGTTCTCTTTGCTATATTCTTTCTTAATAAGTCAAATGATTGTAATTATTATTCCAATTAAAGTATAATTACCCTGTATATTACATAAAAATGATTCATATCTTAGCATGTGCTTTTATTCTTCCATTTTCATTTCTTTGGCTGAATGTTAATCAGTATTACTTCAGACTTTTTACATTGCCATTTGAAAGCTTTATCAAATAAAAAAGATAATTTTATTGGCCTATATAAAATGAAATTGTTGCAAGCACTCTGGAACCTCCCAAAGTGCTATATAAATTATATATCCTCCAAACATTTTGTTTGCATACACATAAAGATATTAATTTTTGCACGAAATCTGAAAATAAGAAATCTCATATAATATGCCAGTACACTATTATAATCAACTGAGTATTCATCTTGACTTTAGATATTTACAAATCAGTTACAAATCAGATGAATGCTATCATAAACTTTTAGCTATTATCTATTTTTTAATTTTATAAAGACACTAAAATGCATTTATGAGTAAGATCACACAAACTTTAAACATCTCCTCAAAATGTTAAATTCACATATAAACTACCTTTATTTAAATTTATAGTTTTAGTTTTTTGGGAAGAGAGGGTGTTTCTAGAGATTTCAAAACTATTCCTGAAGATATGTGATTTTGTTGTCAAAGATTATTTTTCAGTATTTATTCCTTATTCTGTAAAATGTTTCACAACATAAATAAACAGTTTATTCAAGCATGCATCCACTTCTACTCTCCTTACCGTTATGCTCTTGTCATTTACGTCACATGTATGCAGTTCTCTGGTAAATTCAATTATTGTATGCGTATCATTTTCCATGGCATATTCTAGGTGGTAATCTTGCTGAGTGTCTTTTTTCAACTCTTTATTTTCATTTGTAAAATAGTCCTATGGAAAATATGAGAAAGAAAACTCAGGATATTCTAAAATCAAGGTGTAGGGAATTTAAGAGAATTTACAGGACCTTAAAACTCAATTTTGAGTTTGCTTATTACAACATCCTTTATTGAGACTGTTTTTGTAAATCTTGAGAATTTACAACAGGGTGGAATATTCTAACTAGAGAATCAGTTATAGGAAAGTAGTTTACATTTAGGAAAAGTCAATGTTGATTTATAATATCATAAAGCATTCAAAAATTGCGCAAATATTTGAAGTCATTGAGTACTTTTCCTTCATTGTACAAATGAAGAGGGGGACTTCAGCACTGTGGAGTATCTTCCCCCAAACTGAAGTATCTAGTTAGCAACAAAGCCAAAAGAGCCCTAAGGTCAACACTCTCTGTTATTAGGGCTTCACCATCCATAAAAGCAGAGACTCATAGGAGGGTGTACAGGTTTTTCAGGTCAAGCTTTAGAGGCACATACTGATTACAATGAAGTGCAATGAAAAATTATTCAAAGAAATGAAACTAGTTGAATTGTAAGATATTGAAAAACTCAAAACAATTTTGTTTTTGTGGGTCAGCCATAACTTTTGTACTAAATTTCTTCTGTGGCATCTATCACTTCTAGGAGTCAGACAAGCACAATGCAAAGAGGGTAGGCTTTGAAACAAAATGGCTAGGATCTGACTCCCAGCTGTCCCCCTAAACATTAGCCTTGCCCAGTAGTTGAAATCAAACTGTGAGAGCTTTAGTTTTACCATTAGAGTCTTGGAAACAGTGTATATCTACTTGATAGATTTTTAAAAGATGAATAAATGAAATAATAGGGTCAGTTCCATATTTTCCATTCATTCCTTTATTGGAAATATAACTTGGATTTTCCTCCCCAGATATTTCACTCTGCCTTTTACCATCAGCTTATTATGTTGACAGTTATCAACATGATGCTGCTGATTTTCATCACTTACGAAAGACACAAAACTTGCCTGAATTATACCTTTTTCGGTCCTAGTGATATTTTAGGTTTGAAAATATTTTAAAAAGTTTTAGAATATACATGGTAAAAGAATTATAATTACTTTTATTGACATTAAAATTATATTTGAAGCACTGATTGCTATGTTTGACTGAGAAAACATAAAACACAAGACAAAACTTTTAAATTATGAAAGTCAAATGCAAATGGATAGCATCTGGCATTTTTATTCCTAAATTCAAATTTAGGAATAAAATTGAATTTAATTTTAAATAAAATTTAATTTTAAGATAATTATCAAGTGTGTATAAATTTTGGCATCCAGGGTCTATATATTCTTTAATATGTGAAAACCCCTAATTGCTAGCAATGCACATTCTAGCCATCTTTCACCCTGGTAAAATAATTACAACTTATGAGTACACCCTATGAACCAGGCCTTGTTACATGTACTAACTGGTTTAATTTTTATATCAAATCTATGAGATCAATTATTTTTCCACTTTGCAGATGTAGGCACTGAAGCAACATGTCCAGGGTTACACAACTCAGACTGGAAAGGCAACAGTCAAGCCCCGGCCATCTGACCTCAGAATCTTTACTTTTCCCCCTTCTACCCTGTAGTGGTCACTGATGGATTGGGACAGGTCTATTTATTTTTGTTTTATTTTTTCTGTTTCTAGAAACTAGTCACATCAGTTTTTTGTTTTTTTTTTTTACATAAAATATTCTACAGTTAAAGTTAGGGTTTGAGAAAAATTTTATTCTGAAAACCAGGTTGTGATTGGGAAAATAATTTAAATGTGATACTGTGATTTTCCCATTTTTTTAATCACATAGATTTTCAATATATAAATAAAAGAATGTCTTTGGGCAAAAAGGGATTTAGATCAACCAACTGAGCTCTTTCACTGAACTCATATTTCATTACATTATTCATGTAATCATAGTTTTTGCAAACAAAGAGAGTAGAATATAAATTGTAATCAGTTCAAAGAGTAGAATAGTTATGGGAGTTTTAGAAGTAGGTTTTCAAAACCATCAGTTCCATAAAATACCCACTTAGCTTGCCAATTTTCCACTCATTCTATTTCCACTCAACAATATCAATTTCTTCCAATTATTCCACCTTTTTCTGGTTGTCTAGATAACTTAGCTCTGAGAAAATGGGAGAAGCTTCACTCACATAATGCTGAAGATCCCTTGAGCTCATCCACCCTTTGAAAACCAATGAATATCTCATATTCAGAAAGCATAGCTGCCAATTATTCCAGAGTTCTGGACTCCTAGGAGAATGTGCTGTCTAGAAGGAGCTGATACTGATAACCCAGGGTTATGGTTTATATCTAGATGTGCCCCAAATCCTTCTGCTCTCACAGGTGGGGTTTGTGGAAGGTGATTAGATTCTGGGGGCACGATAACTACTTTGGTGTTGGGAGGTGGGGCCTGGACAGAAGATACAGGTCACTGGGGGCATGACCTAGAAGAGTGTATCTCCCTCCCTGGCTTCTTCCCTAAATCTCTACATCCCGGCTGCCATGAGGTAGGCAGCTTTTCCTCCACCATTCCCTGCTGCCATGCTGTTTCTTCTTTGGAGCCAGCCAACCATGGACTGAAACTTCTAAAAAGCATGAGCCAAAATAAAGCTCTCCTGCTTTGTTATTATTTTTTCATTTATAAATTTGATTGTTTTACTTTTTATTTTATGAAAAAATAAATCAAAATTTTACAACAAAATTATAAGAGAATAACAATAGTTACTACATGTGAATTGTTATCTTCAAAGTAGTTACTCAGAGTACAAGACATAAACCACAAAAAGTCTTACAAAAAAGAAAATAGTAACACAAAACTGTCTTTTCAATAAACTAAGATAAACTAATAGTATAAGTGAAACAAATTAGCATACATATTAAAATGTTTCTGAGACAACAGAAATAATCTACTAGAAGACAAAATGGGTATAATTCTTGAAGACATAGGTGTAGGCAAGGACTTTCTGAACAGAACCCTAGTGGCACAAGAAACAATACCAAGAATCAACAGGTGGGATCGTGTCAAATTAAAAAGCTGCTGTACACCAAAGGAAGCAACCAAGAGAGTGAAGAGTCAATCTAAAGAATGGGAAAAAATTTTGGCAACTATTCCACAGACAGAAGACTAACATTGAGAATATGTAAAGAACTCAAAAAAATTAGACTCCCCAAACAAAAACCCAGTCAAAAAATGGGCAACTGAAATGAATAAACACTTCTCAGAAGAAGTCCAAATGGTCAATAAACACATGAAATAAATGCTCCTTATTGCTGGCCACCAGAGAATTGCAAATTAAATTTGCACCGATATACCATCTTACTCCAGGCAAATGGCTACCATCGAAAACAAATCTAATAATAACAACTGCTTTAAGTTTTTTTTTGTTTTGTTTTGTTTTTGGTGCTGGGGATCAAACTTGGGTCCCTGCACTTGCGCAGCAGGCGGCAAAACCACTGAGCTAAATCCCAGCCCGGCTTTAAGTTTTAAGAGTTAGGTATTGTGTCTTGGTGATTAGAAAAGTGATTAAGACACTCGATGAGGGAAAATGTAGGTGGTTTTTATTGAAACTGAAATTGAAATGTGAACTTATGTAACTACCACCATAATTCCATTATAATTTTTTCACATATTCCAATTTTAGGACCTATTTTGGATATATACCTTCAGTTTTGATCATAGTATATCTCAATCTGCCAAGCAGTGTTATTATTGATTTGAGCTGGGCACTTACTAAAGTTGGAAATCCATGTTAATTCCTTGTTTTCCCAAGAGACCTCCCAAAACAAATATGCTAAACCTCTTCTGCATAAAATGCCAAAATTTCCCCACCTCGGCTTATGATCTCACTTCTCACTTTTTTGAAAGAATTTCAGCTTCAATACATGAGAGCTTTTACCCTGCCTCCTTTCTATCCTGGAAAATACCCACTTTATGGACTCATAAGCTATAATCAAAAGAAAGTAGGGAAAGAAAAAAGTAAAACACTGGGGTAAAAAGAAAATAAACATAAATGAACTAATTGAAAGACGTTACAATAGCTTGTATAGACATTAGAAGTTTAATAATAATCTGTACATCTTGGTGGCAAAAATGGATAATTCAGATCAGAAATAAAGTCCTTAAAAGACACAAAGCAGTAAATTCATTGACGAAAACACAGATATTCTGTATAGTCTTACAAGCTACTAATAGGTTAAAGAAAAAACTCACTATAAGAAAATTCTAAGCCAAAATGCTTTTACTTGGTATTTCATTAAATATTTAAGAAACAGGTAATGCCAATTGTTGACAAATTTCTTCCAGAAAATAAAGGAGAGTGGAGCACTTTCCAACTTTTTTTTTTTTTTTTTTGGTACCGGGGATCAAACTCGGGACCTCGCGCTTGCAAGGCAGGCGCCGGAATCACTGAGCTAAATCCCCAGCCCTCCAATTCATTTTTTGACTCCAGCATTATCCCGATACCAAGTAAAAGACCTTACAAAAAGTTAGACTGATAATCTCTCATGGACCTTGATGCAGATTTCTTTAAAAATAGATATAGACATATTGGCAAATAGGACTTAGCAATATAAGGATAGTATGTCACAACTATGAAGAGTTGTTTCAACATCATATCAAAAGTCTCAAAAAGGCATATAATAATTTCAACTGCAGAAAGAAATTGAACACTATTCATAGCAAAAATCTCTCAGCAATGTAGGACTAGAATACTTCCTGAACTTTCTAACCTACAGACGAGGTCATATTTAATAATGAACTGAGTTCTTCCCCACTAAGTTGAGGAACAAGTCCCAGGACCAACGCAAGGAAATCCACACTCTTCACCTGCAGAAAATGCCACTGCTGGTTCCCCCTCTGACAACTCATCTCTGCTGCTCTCTCGCTCTACTTTTTCCCGTTTCCCTAAGATCTTCACAGTTCTGTCCTTGCCACTGTACTCTTCTGGTCACCATACTTCTTTGGGAATCTTGCCTACTCCAAGTTTCAAAT